TTTATGGAGGTTTGTTTGTTTGTTTTGTTTGTTACACAATTGTTCAATGTTCTGCTCAGGCTAAGTGAAGGATCTGGTAATGCTCTAATATCAAGTGAATATGTTTTTAATGATTTTTTTATGATAATTTTTTTGTAATCAGAGTAAAAACACTGACTTTTACACTGACATTAGATTAGAATGGAACTTTTTCTCGTTGTTCCAAGAGGTAGAAATGATGAGAACTGTGTCCAAACATGTGAAAGTGAAAGTGTAGGAAGAGGGAGTGGCTCAGTGCTGCTGAGAAATGATTTCTCCCAAACGTCAAAGGTGACAGAGCAGTGGTGGGAAACTTCTTTAACCCCTGACCGGCCTCAGAGTAAACTTCAACTTCCGGAAACTCAGCGTCAGAGTTTGTGTTTCCTTTACACGTGTCTCTATTTACAGTAAGAGGCTTTTCGTTAAATACTAAACTTCAGAACAATTACAAAGCACTGATCACTTGTTATTATGAACAGATTTGTATCAGGATGTTTGTATTGGAGCTTATGTTTGACACATGCAGCTGGAACCCACTGTTTAACTGTTGCAGACTGCCCTCTAGCGGTTGTATGAGTACCTCACTTTTTTGTTTCATGAAAACATTTGCAACCCTTTTTATTGTGAAAACATCAACCCACAAGATTCTGTCGTTAAAACATGTACTGAGAGCGGATTGGCTGGGGGCTGGTTCTCTCTTTAACACTAAAAAAGGTCGGAGTAAAGATGTGACAGAGGCCAAAAAATCATGCATGTGAAAACTAATGATAGAATCAAACTGTGGAGGAACAAATGTTTTACAGATTTTTATTACAGAGCTAAAAGAAGAAGAATCCAATTTAATCGCAAAATGTAAATAGAAGCATAGAAAACAGACTCATTGATGTTTGAAAACTGAAATGCCGGATATAAATAGAATTGAATAATATTATATCAGTGCCCTCTACTGTTCAGATTATGCAACACATTTATCATTTTTATAGATAAATAAATAAATCGTATTCATCAATGAAAAGTAAAAAATGATGCAGCCAATTACTTGTATCATGCTTCTGCAGTCATAGTTGTGATGAGAATATTGCTGCAATTGTACTTCCCACAACTATAACGCCTTCTATTATAAGGAAAACATTTATACTTTTTTATTACTATTTTTACTAAACTGCATATGATTTATCATAATATACATGGGGTGGGAGTTTATAAGTTTTTCTTCTTCCCACTCCATTTCGAGCTCATGGAGCAATTTGTGTATAATAACAACTGTGCATGGGTGCATTAGTGATGTGGGTTGTATATATCTGTTGGTGTGGTCTGCCCACTGACGCACCATTGTGCATTTGGATGCTTGTTGTGTGTACAAATGTGTACTGTTATGGGCTCGGAAGGAACAAATAAATGAAATGAAATATTAATGAAATATAATAATAAAGGCACACACAAGACTGTAAGAATGTTAATTTTGTCTTCAAAAAGAGAACAGTTCTATGTTAACGAGGAAAATACATCTTACAGGTGTTTGTCTCTCAAAAATGGCTGTTATAATTCTTTATAATTAGTCAGTTACAAATCTCTCCAGTCTAAACACACTGGAAAAAAGGGAGAGTTTTAGCCTGGAAAACACTGGTAGTGACTGAGTAAAAAAAAAAAAACTCAAACAATAAAGAACAGTTTCAGTGTGTTCAGACCCACACAGTCTGAGTAAACTGCCAACTCTGTCGCCTTCATCCTCCTCTGACCTCAACTTCCCTTATTTGACACTTTATAGATCTGCAGAAGTAATAAAACGAATGTCAAGACTTTGATCAACTGTGGCTGTTGTACTGTAAAATCTCTATATAAATAGCAGACACTCTTTAAATGATCCATGCATGATATAAGTGCTTGAGCTACGAGTTTAATTAATAAGAGAGTTCAAAACAATATTGTAAAACTGAAACTAAAAAGATTTTGTCTAGCAGAAAATACATACAAGAATCTATTATAAATTCTCTTTATGTTTGACGCGATAGAAGGTTGTTTGCAAAAACACTGGAGATACTGATTATGTTGTGTCGACACTTGACCAACAGCAGGTCTGTCTCTGCAGAGGAGCTCCTGCACCACGCAGGTATGAATCAGTGCATTTATAGCCTTAAGTAACCTCATGGGCAATCAATTACACTTTCTGTTTCTCTGTCACATTTAATCCATTCACTGTTTGGCCTTTTTTGTGTTTGTTGCCTGGGAAATGAAGTCAGAGGGATCACATGACCCGGAGAGAGGAAACCCACAGTGTGATTTCAGAGCGGAGCACAAGAACAATCCTGTTGGCAGAACATGGAAGGAAGCCTGTGACGAAGGGATGTCGTCTGTCCACAGACGCAGGGACATGAACAAACTGCAGCAGCACTTGCATGTATTAAATGCAAACAAATAGGAATAGAGAAGATCCTAAGAAACCAGAACAAAAATATCAAAACTGTTCAGTGGTGCCAGTCACCACAAGAGAAGCATCCATGGTTCAGTGATAGGTATGCTTAAATGTGGGCTCCAGTTCACAGCCGATATTTGAAATGCAGTTAAAGCACTAATTCTTACATTGTAGACATGGCTGACCTAATTATAATCAAGAGATTGACCAGTAAAATGAGAACTTTATCTTTTGATTCAGCTCCCTCCAAAACAGTCTTACACAGTGGCTGACAGACACACACCATCCTTCCTTCACTTGTGAACAAAACCTCTCACCAAGAGAAGGGAAGGTACGTCACTCAGTTCAAGACCCTGCCCTCAGGCTTTAGTGGTAATCTTGTATTAAATTTTTTAAAGTGAAGTCAAGCAGGCAGCGTTTGGTTTGGGGACACAGTCAGCTGGTTCAAAACTTATGCCATGAATTATGTTTCAAATGAAACTGGGACTGGGACAAGCCTGGCCAAGCCATCTTAATCAGTAATAACTCACAATTACACGTATGAGCAGCTAACAAGGAAGTGGGCAGATGGCTTTGTCAGGCTGGACTGGGACCACTTCACAATCGAGCTTTGATGACAGCTGTCTAATGCTCCTGATTTGGCAATAGCTTATTTAAATGTTTTTTCTATTTATCTTGGTTCCTACATGCATGTGAAAGCTGTTTGGATTCTGCTGTAGCTTAGTGCAGCACTATAAAAAGTCTGACCACAGCCCAGGGCTTCCTGTCAGTTCACATTTAATTAAGACCTCTTCACAATCCACTCTGACTGGATCAAATAAGCACTAGTATCCACATAGAGTAAAATGCTGAAAACAAATCCAACTGCTTGAACTATGAGCTGCAGAATAGAAAGCAATGCCACCCTGTAATCTGCTCCATAGCCTCCTTGTCTGGTGCACAGCCTCTCGCTGCAGCTGCGACTTAAGTACTGTTTAACTGCCACACTGGTGTTGTGGTGATGCCAGCGCTCATCACATAAAACCACTGGGACTCCATGACTACATCAGGAACAAGCCGACGTCTACTGTCTGTCCAGAAACAGCATCTTTGTTGTCAGAAAATAGACTTAGAAGTATGTTACAATGAAATATTAGTATTGATAACAGTTCTTCTGTCATCAGTAGTAAAGTGTCATTGAAACATTATTTAATAATTATTCCTATCATGCTTTATCTACAACTATTTAACAATGCTTCTGCGTTACCACACCAAAGTGTTGAAGCCTTTACACCGTATTTTCTCAGTTGCATTTTTTTAAATTTTCAAATTCTTTCCATAACCATTTCTGATACTTTGAAGAGTGCATCAAAGTGTGCACCCAGACAGTCAGACAACTTCCAAGGACACGCTTCCCAGACAGATGCCCATTTAATGAAGCTGCTTCTGTCAATGTCTTTACCCAGTGTGAGACGTGATACTCTAGTCTGCCACGACAACCCAAAGACCCACAGACATTCAATCTGGAAACAGTGACAACATTTTAAGCCGGGTTTTGTCCGCCCCCTTCACACATAAGAAAATGCAATTTAGCTTTATTACGTTTCTCTTTTCCACTGATCATACTCTCACCCTGAGCTCATGAAGCTGCACTTAAACCATTTACAAAGGCTGGTGAAGTGAAAAAACAGCTCAAGGGGTCGACATCAGAGTCCCAGAAAGGGAAGCAATGGCATGTCTCCAACACAATGGTAATTCTGTTTAAACACCGTAGTCCATCATCTAGTTTATATTATATAGTGGGATTTGCAAATATTTTAATACCATCCATACAGCCATCATTATTCTTCCACTTTATTTCACTGCCAGGTTACAAAACAGTGACGTTCCGACATCACCGTTCATGCACAGTCGCTCCACACTTTGGAAGAATCCTGAGTCGCTCCCAGGCCAGCTGAGGGTCCGGTGTCTCCTCCTGGAACACACCCAGGAGGAAGCTGTCCACCCAAAACAGATGCCTGAGCCACCTCAGCAAACGCTTCTTGATATGGAGGAGTAGCGGCTCTATTTCTAGCTTTTCCCACTTGACGAAGCCTTCTCTCCAAGGGAGCTACCAGCTACTCTGCTGAGGAAACTAAAACATAACCCTAACCTACAGGCTTGTTTATGTACAGAGAAGCGTGTACTGTATAAGATAAGATAAGATAAGAGTTCCTTTATTCGTCCCACAGTGGGGAAATGTCAATGTTGCAGCGCACATACAGGACAGTAGAAGAGCACACAGGGAGCACACAATATATACCTAATACGTAGTAGCTATGTTTCTTAACTAGCATAACTGGCGTATGACGTGCCATACAACTCTGAATAGGCCAAACTTGATTTTCACATGTCGACATTGTGTTTGAGAATACACATAAAAATGTAAATGTAATTGTAGTTGAATTATACCTTTAACAAAACCTAAAATATAATGAACTTTTGATAATGTCACTTCAAATGTCACATTTGACACATGCGCCCTGAGCAATTAGCATGTTGACAAACAATTATCAGCACATGACACACACCAGACGACAGCTGCACTTACTGTCAGGGTTGGGCGACTTGCGTCCGTGGCTGGGCGAGGAGCAGCGGAAGGTGGTGACGATGGTGTTGTGGTGGGGGTTGGGGTGGTGGGGGTGGTGCACCGCAGGGTGGCTGTGACCGTTGTTTTCCGGGGGGGCTCGGGTGATGCTTATTTCGGGCTTGCGCACATCTCCCGGGCTGGGTGCTTCTATCTTACGCGGGTGGTGTCCGTTATTGTTGCTGCCTTCATTGCGGCGTGTTACTGGGGAGTCTGTGGGGGGTTTGGCGAAGGTTACCTCTCGCTTATGTCCCATCTCCGGTGTTCTGGAATGACCCAAGGCTTCCGGGCGCTTGAGGGCACTACTGACCGAGCGGACAGAGGCTGGACTCGTAATGCTGTCGACCTGTTTACTGGAAGAGCAGATATCGATGGAGAGCTCTGATCTCCGAGACACTGGCTCTGGAGTTTTGGAGCCTCCTCCGCCCATGATGGAGCGCGGCTGGTTGTAGTTGAGATTGTTAGTGCTGTTGGAAGTGGCGGCGCTGCCCAGGTCACGGTAATAGATGCTGGTGGGGGACATGGCGTTACGGTGAGGGGACCCAGTGCTGCGGCGAGAGCCAGGGGAGTGAGCGGAGGTATCCACATCCTCCACCTCAAAGGACCTCTTCAGAGCTGCAACGTGAGAAACACAGGACAGTGTCAAGAGCCACTTATGGGATTCATAAGTTATGGAAAGTATTATGAAAAAGTGTTTAGGATTTTCAGGACTTTTTGAATGCACACCATATATTTATCATACAACTTCATATAATATATCCAGTCGTTACCAGCTTTGTATCTTTCCCTATATGTTTAGTCTCACTCTCTGCTACTACTGCCCCTTTCCAATCCTCAAAATGTGTAAACAATGTATTATGAGTGAACATTTTACCTATGAACAAGACTTTTTTTCTTAATGAAAGTTAAAAAAAATCTGTACATACAGTATACAATAAACAAACTATAATCTATTAATAAAAGGTGCCTTTGTTATTTGGAAATGTGTGCACACAGATGGATTCATAGCTGTTACACTTGTGTACAGTGACAGTAGAAGAAGAATGATAAAGTAGAAGAATATCTGGTCATCCTGATACTTTGATTAAGATAAGGCTTGATCTGCTTATTACTCATCAACACAGAAATTATACAAAAAGAAATAGAAAAACTCTTGATAGTTTGGTTGAAATGTTCCTGAATCACGAAGGTTTCCCAGTTATAAACGTTCCCACAGTTGTCACGTAAACTGCATTGTGTCATCTAATTGTTTTACATCAACCATGAAAAAACATTCCTTACATCAAATGCACATGATGTATTTCTGGGGCTTCATGTCGTGCTGCGTGTGGTGCTCGAAAGCTAAAGGCCTATTTTACACTCAACTATTTGCCACATGGTATAATGCGAGCAGTCAGCCAAGCGTTGTTTATAACCAGCCATTTAGGCCAGCACTCTCTGATTATGAACTACACGGAAACGGCAACATGCTCTCTCTCTGTGACAAAATGGCTGCAATCTCCCGGTGAAGACAGAGTTGGCACAGTCCTAAAGGCGCACATTTTGGTCAGAAGAAGGTTTATAATTTAGGAGCATTGACAAAGCAGATATGTTTGTACTGTGGAACTCAAAAGATGCCAAATTTTCAGACACACACACTCACACACAGGCCTAGAGACACACACACACACACACACACATAACCCCATGCATAGAGAACACACACACAAGCATGCACAACCCCAGGCATAGACCTACACACATAGAGATGAAGACACGCACACACAGTCATAGAGACACACACACACGTACACACACAGGCATAGTGATCACACACAATATCGTGCAGCCCTAGCACACGCACACACATACAGACACACACAAACACACACACACAGGCAAATAGAAGAGAAACACACACACACAGGCATGTAGAAGAGAACACACACACACACACACACACACACAAACACACACATACACGTTTTTGTTACCTGGTGGGTCCCTTTGACAGGGCCGTTCAGAATGGGACCCATAGACATAATCTTTTTTTTACTGGGACTACTTTAAGTAATACAAAACAGTCAATAGAAACCAAACAACTATTTTAAAGGAATTTTATTTTAGATTTTTTTTTCGAATTGCAGTGATTCTATTTTTGACATAGAATTTAATGCCACTCCATGTCCGATGTCTAAGGTCATCTGGTGAGGCATTAATGCAGGCCAGGCAGTGAGACTTCCCAGGGACCTTTCCAGTCTGTATGAAAGGTGTCATGGTCTTCTCCACAGCCTTCACCTCAGATGCAGACCATGGCTTTCTTACACGTTCTAGGGAGAGAAATAAAAATATATTAGCAATATACACTCCCAGGGTTAGGACCAAGCAGCCTGGCTGTAATCCCCCACCTGGTACACTTACCAGAAGGGGCACTGCCACTACCATGGGGTGCATCTGGATGAATGGTTGAAGGTTCTCCGCTTGAAGTTTCTTTTAGCCCGTCCGTTTGTGAGAGGATCTCTACTGCTCTCCCTGTCGCACAGAAAATAAAAATACAAGTGGCCTTTAGGGGAAAAAAATCATACATATTTTAATAATATCAAGAATTACCTTCAGGCTCAATTTGTATCTGGTCGAGGCTCTTTCCTTCGAATTCCGTCACTCTTCCCTGCTCCATGGCCATCAACACTTTGCTGATTTTGGCCAGCTCCAGTGTCCCCTCTGGTAGTCTGTAATATTGCCTGTGGATGCGAATGTCATGGCCGAGGAAGTTGGCAAGTATGTCCATCTCATTCTCTTTCATATTGAGAACTGTAGACATAGTAGCTATGTGCTTTCTAAGTTTGGTTGAGGATAGCATCTCTGGATGCACCGCACCACATTCTTTGGCTACCTGGCGTAGGGAGTCTGATCCCCTGATGTGGGTGTCTGCGCCCGGGCGGGAAAAGAAGTATGGGTTATGGTCAGAGATGGAACAGGCCCTTCTGTTCTCCACCAGCACCTCCATCGAAGCAATCATTTCAGGAGTCAAAAGAACCGGCACTTTCCGACTTCTTTTCCCTTTAATTTCAATGCGTTGAAAATGCTGACACAGCTTTTTCTCAAGTTGGGACAGTCCCAGAGCAATGTCAGAATGGATCCCAGTCTTACTTCTTAAGGTAAAGGCTGTCAGTGGCATCTTTGAAACCTCACCTTCCCTTCTTCGATTGAAAATGATGACCTCACAAAGAGTCAAAACTGCCAGTTTAGACCAATGCTTAGACGTTGGCTCACTTATTAGGGTTTGCACATATTCAGGTCGACATACCTCAATATGTGCATGCATGGCTCTAACGTCCTCAGTCAGAGGGAGCAGGTCCGGAGTGTTCCACTTGGCTTGCCGGAGGGTCTGTAGGGCAGCAGAAGAAACACAGACGTCCCACCTCTTCTCAAAAAGCAGCCGGCTTCGTTGGAGGTTTTTAATAAATAGTTCATCAACACAATGCTCCATTTTTGAGTCACATTCAAGAATATCTGCTAGCTTTCTGAGGCTATGGCCGAGTTTGAGGGCCAAGGATGGAGTCTTGTATTGATTTGTTTCCTCATCATATCCAGCCACAGACCTGACTGCATCAATCACATGGTTAAAGTTGGAAGGAATAAAGAAATCCTTAATTGTTTTCAGTTTCCCTGCAGTTTTTGCTTCGTTAATTAACCTACCGACTTCTCTCATTTTCTGCCTAATGTAATCATGCTTAGTCTTATCATGCCCGTGTTTTAAGTACAGGTGCTCTCCGAGTCTCAGAATCCCCTTTTCTGCTTTGACAACACCCGTGACCTCATCCTGATGCATTGCCGAAATTAAAGACCACAGCTTTTTGCTGATGCCCTCCGGTACAGGCTGGGCTAGGGAGCAGAGGGACTGGACCCTACTTCTACCTGGTTTAGCCTGGGCATCTTTCTGTGAAAGCCGGCACCTGGCCACATGCCTCCACAGGGACTTTCGCTTAAGCAATGCCCCACAGTCTATACAGTGCAAAAACTCACTGGATTTAACTGGGCAATTTGGCTGTTTAGCTGGGACTAAAGTTCCAATGCCGGCCTTTAAAACCTCAAAATTGTGCTCACGGTTTCCACTATTCCTGATCAAATCAAACTGAAGTTTACGTGCTTTAGATTTCACAGGTAGAGCCAATGCTCTGGCTACGTCACTTTCATTTCCATGTTTTCTAGTCAAATGACGGGACATTTTGTGGCAGGACATTGAACAGTAGAGGCAGAAGTGTCTCTTGCTGTAAACTCGCCCCCCATTTTTCTTCTTTTGCAGCTGCATGATAACAATCTTATTTGCCTTTGGTTCGTCACTTTCCGAGTCTTGAAGAAAAGTTTTTTTGATTTTTCTTTTTCCATACTTTTTTACAGGTTTCTTCTTGACAGTTAAATCGTCAGAATCTGAGTCGACTTCATCAATTAGGGACTCTTGACTAAGCTGCACAAACAACAAATAATTTGTAATCATTCTATATAACAATTTGAAGTCATGACTTGTAGTCAGCACTTACCAGTGGTTTGTAAGCGTGCGCTTCAGTGTGCTCCTCCATGATTTCTTGCAGCCTAATGAACCACACACTTGCACCTTTTTCTAGCCTGACACCTGATTTCCTCTGTTGTGCTGCTCCATGATTGGCTCCAGCCTGCTGGACTGAAATTGCCCCAGTGTGCCCCTCCTTGATATCCCGCAACCCACCACCAGGGTTCCGACACATAACACACTTTTTTCAGGAAAGTAAACCTCCAGGGGTCCTTTCCATATTTTTACAGAGACTGCATAAGGACCGTTAGAAAAGCATTACCCATTGATTATTAAGCTTGGACCAGTGGGGTCCGGTGTTCGGGCCCCACCACGTAAAACCAGTCCCCATGACGTGAGTGGAATCTCAGGTTATGGAACCCACCAGGAGTTGAAAACAAGTGCACAGGCAAATAGAAGAGAACACACACACACAGGCATGTAGAAGAGAACACACACACACACACACACACACATACAGGCATGTAGAAGAGAACACACACATGCACACCCTCAGGCATAGAGAAGAGAACACACACACGCACACACACACACACACAAACACACACACACACACACACACACACAGGCAAATAGAAGAGAACACACACACACAGGCATATAGAAGAGAACACACACACACACACATATACAGGCATGTAGAAGAGAACACACACATGCACACACAGGCATAGAGAAGAGAACACACACACACGCATAGAGAACACACTCACACAGACACACACACACACACAGGAATATAGACGAGAACATACACACAGACACACACACAAACTATAATAAGAAGTCAAACAAAACATTTTTAGCTCAACAAGCAAATGATGAGAGTTCAAGCTGCCATGTTTCCCTGCTTTGTGTTTTATTATCTCAGAGTGGGAGTGCGAGGAGAGCCTTTCATCCGCAGCCAATAGTACTTTCCCACAAGTTCATTCAACTAAGTATTTATCTTTATCCACACAGGGAAGAGGAACACAATTAGGTAAAACAAATGTAGTAGCAGAGGCGACTTGGATGTCACTTATTATTATCTTAAGTTTTATTGACAATGTGACAACAATAGGAACAA